AGAAGTATTATGATAAACCTTATTAAGAATGGTTACTAAGATGCGTCTCAAGAGTCACTTTAATAAAAGAGCTCATTTACTCTGCCATCCCAGTAACAATAATTTTGCATATGTTTTATGAACTAGAAAATACAGTTACTTAATTTTAATTTTTTTTGTCAACTACTATCCTCTCCCCCCAACCAAAACGAGATATTGTTCTTAATGTCCTAACATAGAAAGATAGAGTATAGAAGACATCACCTAAAATACCAACACTAACAAACCTAAAACACACTTAAACAAATATAAGAAACAACAAAACACAATAATAAAAGCAAAAGGCATAAAGATTCACAAATGAAGACTCAAATCCAATCTTTAAAAAATTTAGCATAAGAAGGAACATGTTTAATGGCATCCAACAAAGGTATATTGATCCTTACCTGTTTGAAAGTTTTAAAGATTTCAGAGTTATGATTAACTTTTCTTTGTTTGGTCATGGCATGAAGAAATGGAAGTGCTAGTGGGGAATCAGTCTTTTCTTTGTAATTTTCAAATTCAACCCCTTCCTTACCCTCAGAAATTGACTTATCATCTTTCTCACAAGGTTCAAGAGTGGGTTTTTCAATAATCTTACCACTGTGAAGAGTAGTGACTGATTTGACCTGATCCATATGTTGGCTTCCGGAACTACTTGCATTTCCATTATACTGCCTCTTGGGATTTTCTTGTGGTTGAGATGAAAACTTACCTTTCTTTTGAAAACTGAAAGCAGATGTTAATTTTGTAAGAGTATCTTTAAAATCTGTCATGTTTTGAGCAAGTTGAGTATTGATTGTCTCTTGCTTTTTAATAAATGCATACAATGTTTCCTCAAGATTTCTTCTAGAAGGTGGAGCATAAGAAGGTGCATATCTATGAGAATTTTGAAAATTATGGTATGTTTGAAATGGTGGTTGTGAAGTTAGTGCATTGTCACTCTTCCATCTAAAATGTGAGTAATTTATCCAACCAGGGTTGTATGTTTGCTAGTATGGGTTGTGGTTAGGCCTTTGAAAACTATTTAAAAAATGGGCTTGTTCATGGAAACATTCCTTAAAAGAATACATGGTTGGATAATCATTGGTTGAGTGTTTATTTGTTTCACATATTTGACACATAATGTTTTCAACATATTTTAATTGACCACTCCTCTTCAATTTTAATGCCTCGACTTTTCTAGTTAAAGATGCAAACTTGGCTTGGAGGTCATAATCTTCCTTAAGATTGCATATACCTCCACTAGATGTATAAGGTTGAGTTTTACTCGATGCCTCATAAGTACCCGTGGTGTCCTATTTTTAAGCATTTTCAACCAACAAATCTAAGTAATCCGTTACTTCATCAGGGTCTTTATCTTCAACAACTCCATTGCATATTAATTCAACTATTTGTCTATCTATAGGTGTTAACCCTTCATAAAAATAGAAAATCAATCTCCATGTTTCAAAACTATGATAAGGGCAAGTATTAAGCAAGTCTCGATATCTATCCAAATATTGATAAAATGTTTCTCCTGGTTTTTGAATGAAAGTGATGATTTATCTTTTGAGAGAGTTTGTTCTGTGAGATGGAAAAAACTTCTTCAAAAATTATTGTTGCATTTCATCCCAAGCACGAATGGATCCTGGTCTCAAATTGTATAGCCATGTTTTATGTTTATCTTTTAATGAAAAAGAAAAAAGCTTTAATCTGATGATATTTATGCCATAATTTGAATCATTATACGTGTTGCAGATCTCTTTAAATTCTCTTAAATGCAAGTATGGATTTTCCAAATCTAAACCATGAAAAGAAGGTAAAAGTTGAATAATGTCTAGCTTAAAATTAAAATGAGATGCTTCAGGAGGGAAAATTATGCATGATGGTGCACTTGTTCTTATGGGATTCATATGGTCTCTAAGTTTTCTAGCACGGTTATTCTCATTATTCTCATTATAAAGTGACTAATTATCTTTTTCGGCCATATTTTCCATAAATAATGAGGATACCCTACAAATTCTACCACTTAATGTACATGACCACACTCTCATACATGTATAGGAATAGAATAAAAGGAAGAAGAAAACAAAAAAAACAAAGAAAAAAGAGAAAAGAAACAAAGTTATATATAAGAAAAGTGAAAAGATAAAATAAAATAAATACTATAATTTGTAAAAGAACTTACCTCCCCGGCAACGGTGCCAAAAACTTGACATGACTAAAAGATTGATATCTTCTCCCAAGTGCAGGAGTGTCGAAGTAATAAATAACCTAGCAAAACCGGGGTTGAACCACAAGAGGTTAATTGTATAAATTATAAATAAAAATAACGTAACAACAACAATACCAATAGCAATAACAATAATAATAATAATAACAATAATAGTAGTAGTTGTTGTTGTTGTTGTAGTAGTAGTAGTAGTAATAAAAAAGAACAAAAAGTTGATGAGAACTTTGAGATGAAAGATTAGTGTAATAATTAAACAATGATAACAACAAATATCAAGGTTAGAGGATCTACTAATGGTATGTCAAACAAGTATAGTATAAACTCTTATTATTCAATTAGAAACCACACATAAAGGAGGTTCCAATCAGATTATAAATTGTTAACATAATTACATTAGTTATCTTATTCGATTAATGTTAATACTTGTAAATCTCGTCAGGCATTCATGATTATAACTTATGTTAAAAACAAATCAAGTTCCTTTCATAACTTAGGTGTCAGTTATACCATATAGTATGGGCTATGAGAGTGCCAAGTATTTGTTGTATCATGTTATACAATATAAATCTAGATTAGTCATTTAACAAGCAAAGTATTAAAGAGTGAATAAGATAGCAAATACAAAACATGTTAGTATCAAACATTAAAGTCCATATTAAGTTTACACTATACTTATTCTTACACCATTAGTGTAAGCTTTTCACCTTAACATAATAAACTTAACTAAACATAATGAAAGAAAGAAAAATAAATAAACAAAATAAGAATATAAATAAGATAAAAGCTAACTAAATAAAGGAAAGAAAATGAAAGGCATAAACAATATATTAATGAAAAGAAAACTTAAGCATTATAAAAATACAAAGAGAGAAAGCAAAAGTATGATCTTGATTTGGAGACCAAGATGCCTAAATGCATGACAGGCTAAAATTGGAAACTATTGATTTGATGACTAATTGATGAGTGGGTGGCTAACTCTTGACTTGGTGACAATCCTTATCTTCTTTTATCTGCCCAAAACATCATTGATAATGTCAAAATTAAAATCACTTAAAAACATGAAAGTTGTAGGAAATTGTCTCAGATTTCTAGAAAAAAAAAAATAAAGGTCATTTGGACTTCTAAAACTCCAGATATAGACTAAACACTGAACAATGTTCGGGCTGGAGGACATACTCGGACTTCTTTGTTGTTACTACAATTTGGACTTAAAAATAGCCTTTTTAAATCTTGGGCTCCATATGAAAGTTGTAACCCTATGTCTTACCTTTTTATCCATATAAAGTAGACTTAAATCTGAGATCTATAGCTCTATATATGATCCAATTACCTAACAGTGTTCTGGTTTGGACTACACCGACATTTCTTTTTTATGTTTGATCATCTCTTTGTCCTTGCAATTTCAGTTCTTAAATTCATCAATCAATCCTTTCATTTTTGTGATAGGTCTGCATTTAAAATGAATATTTTTTATAAATTAAAGGTATCTTATATTATTAGAAATGTTATTATAAAACATGCTTTAGTTAAGGAGTTATTGATACTTCAAGTGCAAAATGATGATATAAAATCTTGATAAAAATACACATTTAATTACTAATCGATATCGCATTTGATTAGTATCAAGGTTTTATATCATCATTTTCCACTTGAAGTATCAATAACTCCTTAACTAAAACATGTTTTATAATAACATATCTAATAATATAAAATACCTTTAATTTATGGTAAATGTTCATTTTAAATACAGACCTGTCACATAAATGAAAGGATTGATTGATGTGTTTAAGTACTTAAATTTAAAAGATAAAGAGATGGTTAAATTTAGAAAAGTGATATCCGAGTGTGATAGTTATCATTATCATTATCATTATTATAAACTAATATTATTGTCAATATTATCACTACTAGTAGTATTATTATTGTCTCATCATCATTATTATCATCATCACTATTATTATTATTATTGTTGCACACATGCAGTGTTGTGGCAATCGTCCACCTTACAGGAAAAAGATGGAAATGTGGATGTGGTGTATTTCCGGCAAAATATGAAGAGACAATTATTTTTTGAATATTTATTTATTTATTTATTGCGGTAAGGTCCAAAACTGGGTTATGACAATTATTATGATTATTATTATTAGAAAAGAGAAATGAATAAAAAAAAATAAAGGCCAACCAATAATAAACAGATCACCATAAGCTTACACGCACCACCTAGGAAGGAAAAGAAGACAACAAAAAGAAGTCACATGCATTGTCCAAAGAATACGATGTCTTCTACACATCAATAGTTTTTTAAATTAAAATATATTAATTAAATGTTGAACGATGTTAATGCAATGAATGTGTTTAGATATTTTTATAAAATATGTAGAAATAACATTTTTACATTAGAAATGTAAAAATAACATTTTGTTTAGCTTTTCAAAAAAACAAGCAATAAAACAAAAAAAATAAAAACAAAAACACTACTTTTTCTATTTTTGACTCGCCATGTTGCTGGATGGAGTTGCTTTTATAGCATAGCGTTGAATTAAAAAAAAAAAAAGAAGAAGAAGAAGAAAAGAATGGGACTGCAGTGAATTTGCCTAGCGTTTTAATTGTTTTTTTAAAGCAATAAATAATTACGAATGGTACTTGGAGACCAGAACCTCAAAATTTTTCAAAGCAAGGGCTGTCTGCCTCGTCGCTGGATGAAAAGTCACGTGACCTTTTAGGGAGATATTTTGTCGGATAACGTGTTGGAGCATGATTGGGTTCCATCTAGGAGTCTCCTAGCGGACCCTCTCCTAATCAGCCTCAAAAATGTATCGCCATCGCCATTGTCGTCGTCGTCGTCGTCATCAATCATAGTCTCCTTTTCCTCTACTAATACTTACAACACAGAGCAAAAGCCACCAAAACCCAGAGAAGAAATAATTAAAAGTGCAGCCATTTTTATTCAGTGTAAGCTTTTTCTTAAGAGAAGAAATGGCTCTCTGTGCTGCTTCGATCTCCCATAATAACACTCCACGCATTCTCTCCTCTTCTTCAAATACATTTTCTCAGCTCAGCAACCAGAAGAAGATCTCTGCTTCTCCTCATTTCTCCCTTTTATCGCTTACTCCTCGCTCTTCTCTCTCCAGGTTCCTTTTCTTGTTTTTATTTTAATTCAGATACGTACATTTTTCCTCATTATTTTACAATGCTGCTCTTCTTCGTTCCTGATACGTTATTAAGTTTTTTTAAATGCGTTCAACAACGTTGTATTCTTTTTCTCTTCTTCTTTAAATGCTCAAATTTTATTTTATTTATTTGTTCATCATTGTGTTCTGGGTTTTTAATGTTTTTTGGTTCTTCTCATTTTCCTGAAGATTTCTGTGTTCCTTCTATTTCAGGAGTAGTTTTGTTTCCCAGTGGGGAAGAAGGGAGCCTTACTCTTTGCACGGCCATGTCACGTGTTCGGTTAGAGGTTCGTTACCTCTTCTTTTCTCTACGTTGGGTTTAGACTCTTATTTCCTGTCTTCTTTTTAGCTGATGGTACGATGGGGTTATTTGGCATTCCGTGTCTTAGATGTTTTGCTGGATGAATCCAAGGAAAAGCTTCACCTTCCGAAAGGTGATATGTGGTCGGTTCATAAGTTTGGTGGCACGTGTGTGGGAAGCTGGGAGAGAATTAAGAATGTAGCACAAATTATTGTTCAGGATAGCTCAGAGGGGAAATTGGTGGTTGTATCGGCGATGTCCAAGGTGACAGATATGATGTATGATCTCATAGACAAGGCGCAATCACGAGATGGTTCCTATGTATCTGCTGTAGATGCTGTTTTTGAAAAGCACAAATTAACAGCTATGGATCTTCTTGATGGTGATGATCTTGCTAGTTTTTTGTCCCGGCTGCATCATGATATTAATAACCTCAAAGCCATGCTTCGTGCAATATACATAGGTATCTGACTGCTCTCTCTTTACATGCATGCATGTATATGATCAAGTGTTGAAATGGATTAAATCTCTTCTTTCTTATGCAACTAGTGAATTCCAATATCTGATTTTGTTATATTTTTTCAGCAACTCTTTATTTTATTTTTATCTTCAATCCATGTTGATACGAAGTGCTTTTCTGTTTTCCTGTCATATCTGGCTTTCTACTGCAGTATTGCCTCTGACAGCTTTCACCTTTCATCTGTTGCAGCTGGTCATGCAACCGAGTCCTTTTCTGACTTTGTTGTAGGACATGGGGAGTTGTGGTCTGCACAGATGTTGTCATACGTTGTTAGAAAGGTTCAGTGGTTATTTGCTCATTGCCATGAAGAATACCTGCCAATTGTAATTCTCACAATTTATCTGATTTATTGTTAGGTTATTGTTTTCTCATGCAGAACGGGCTAGATTGTGAATGGATGGATACAAGAGAAGTGCTTATAGTAAATCCCTCTGGTTCTAATCAAGTTGATCCTGATTTTGCGGAGTCTGAAAAAAGACTTGAAGAATGGTTCTCTCGACATCCATCAAAGACAATAGTTGCGACTGGTTTCATAGCCAGTACGCAACAAAATATTCCCACAACATTGAAGCGGGATGGAAGTGACTTCTCTGCAGCTATAATGGGTGCCCTGGTGAGGGCTCGCCAAGTCACAATTTGGACAGATGTTGATGGGGTATACAGTGCAGACCCCAGAAAAGGTTTGTTCTTGGTTTATTTACACTTGTTTTTTTTTTTTTTCCCTGTACAAGGTTCTACCTCTACTGCTGTGCTATCTAGTGGAGACCATTCAGATTGTGGAGAATGGCCTCATATAACTTTTGAGAGGACACCAGTGATGAGATTGGATTGTAATTGCTGAAAGATTCCTTTCCCTTTTCATCTGCAGTTAGTGAGGCTGTAATACTAAGGACATTGTCTTACCAAGAGGCCTGGGAAATGGTGAACTTCACCACTCTTCTCGTACCTGTCAATGTGAACTATCTAACTGCATGTTTCTAAGTTTATATTTATGTGGATTTGCAGTCCTATTTTGGGGCAAATGTCTTACATCCTCGCACTATTATGCCTGTGATGCGATATGATATCCCCATTTTGATAAGGAATGTTTTTAACCTCTCTGCTCCTGGGACGATGATCTGCCGGCCTGCTGAGAATGAAGATGGCCAGAAATTGGAGTCGCCTGTCAAAGGTTTTGCAACTATTGACAATGTGGCTCTTGTGAATGTTGAGGGGTGAGGCATTTCTTGGTGATTTTGTATTCATTGATTTCATGTTGTATTCATTTTTTTCTCTCATTTTATGTTTACTCTTCCGTTGGCAGAACTGGACTGGCTGGTGTTCCTGGTACAGCTAGTGCCATTTTTGGTGCTGTGAAAGATGTGGGAGCTAATGTCATTGTTATATCCCAGGTACTCTTTATCCCCTGGTTTCAATTGGTGTTTTTCTCAGATAACATTTATGCAAAGTGACTGGATTTCATGCAGGCTAGTAGCGAGCATTCTGTATGCTTTGCTGTACCTGAGAAGGAAGTAGCAGCTGTTGCTGAGGCTTTGAAGTCTAGATTTCATGAAGCTTTGAATGCAGGACGTCTTTCCCAGGTTCTGTTTGGATTGAACTAAAATTCAACATAAACAGCACCAAGTCTATGAATCTTTATGATTTCACTGTCGTCTTAGAGTTTTTCCCTTAAATTCTTTTTATCTGTTTTTGGTTTATCATATTTTATGGGAATTGTGGAAGTTCACGTGTTATGACATTTTTGGTAAAACTATTAGTCTCTGGAGAACAACCATACTGGAAAACAGCCAACATTATCTTATTTCAGTTTCACAACTTGAGCTCTTGGACTTTTGAAATCTGATATGGGTTTTTTGTTTTGAGTATGATCTGTTCCTGTCTTATGCACTGATCTAATAATAATTTGCTTCATGCCAATTTAATTTACTGTCACAGCTACATTTTCTGAGCTTGTTCTCTGATATGTGGACTCATGGTTTGGAGCTTTATTCCTGTAGTTTGCTTTCTCAATGGCGGAGCATATTATCTTTTTCATTCTCTGATGTATTGGAATCATATTTTCCCACTTCATTGTTTTCTCAAAATCACTATTCAGGTTGCAGTCATTCCAAATTGTAGCATTTTAGCAGCTGTTGGCCAGAAAATGGCTAGCACACATGGAGTCAGTGCAACTCTTTTTAATGCTCTGGCTAAGGTAAAACCAGACCCCTCATCTCGATATATATATATATATATATCGCGATGAGGGGTCTGGATGCTCAATGTCTTTATACTTTCAATATTATGTCTTCTTATTTATTTATTTTTGCTATTTTCTTCTGATACAAGTATGAAATGTTTTTGCAATGCAGGCTAATATTAATGTCCATGCCATTGCTCAAGGTTGCTCTGAATACAATATTACAGTTGTTATCAAGGGTGGAGATTGTATAAGAGCTTTAAGAGCTGTCCACTCGAGGTTTTATCTCTCGAAAACCACGATAGCAATGGGAATCATTGGACCCGGTTTGATTGGTGCCACATTACTAGACCAGCTTAGAGATCAGGTGTGTATTTGGATGCTGATATATCTTTTATTTTTCTTTCATATGCCAGTAATTATGGAATAATTAATGTTTGAATGTGAACATTGATGGATCCATTATCTTTTGCGACTATGATAGAGTTAATAGCGGTTGATCTAAAGTAACATGACTTTAAAAATTTGTAAGAGGTAAAATACAATGGGAATGCTGTTTCTTATCATTCAACTGTCATCTATTTAAATAAGAATGTGGTGCTCGATCAACATTTAGAGGTTGTTTTTGTGTTTTCTTGCCCACGCTAGTACTACTAATGATGAGTAGATGCTATATGAGTGCCCAAAATGCACTTTGCATAGTGTGTCGATGGTGACTTTCACCAAAAGAAGATTTAAGGCTATCGGAGGTCTATCTTATTCTTTCTTGTTCTACTTAAACGAGGACTGGTCCTAGACAGTTCTTTTTATTTCTTCCCACAAAAACCAACCTTCCCCAAAGTGTTTGCTTACACAAATCATGTTGCAAAATGTACTTTGCAACATAGCAAAATAAGCAGTAAATACCATGTTGTGTGTCAATACTTTCACCAAAAGAAGATTTAATGCTATTGAAGGTCTATCTTATTCTTTCTTGTTCTACTTAAACGAGGACTGGTCCTAGACAGTTCTTTTTATTTCTTCCCACAAAAACCAACCTTCCCCAAAGTGTTTGCTTACACAAATCATGTTGCAAAATGTACTTTGCAACATAGCAAAATAAGCAGTAAATACCATGTTGTGTGTCAATACTTTCACCAAAAGAAGATTTAATGCTATTGAAGGTCTATCTTATTCTTTCTTGTTCTACTTAAACGAGGACTGCATTTCATAGACAGGTCTTTTTATTTCTTCCTATAAAAACCAACCTTCCCCAAAGTTTTTGCTTACATAAATCATGCTCAAGTTCTGGTTCAATCTAGGATTTATTATTACTCGAATTCTCATGCCGTTGCATTAAAAATAAATGAAAGTTTTATTTCCCAAGTCTGTATGTCATGACCTCTGAACTAGGCACCGAAAGGTTTCAGTAAAGCTTGAATAAATGAGCATCAGGTTCCAAGAACTGTTCCTGACCACTGATACTTGCACCCTTGACGTTGGAAGCCATGCTGTGGCTTGCAAAATGGGTAGACAGGAGTTGAGAACATTACCTAATGGAGCAATGCATATATTTTATTCTTTTTTAACTAGGTGTTGTTATTATTCTAAATGCTATATCAGTCTGAACATGTTATGAAATTTCTTTTGGCAGGCAGCAGTCCTTAAGGAAGATTTTAACATTGATTTGCGTGTTATGGGAATCACTGGCTCGAGAACAATGCTTCTGAATGATGTGTAAGTCTTATGAATTATATCAGATTCCTGCCCGTATGATACTGTCTTTACCTTTTCTTTCTGAGTTCCTGTTGAAGGCAACATGACTACCTTTCTTCCTGATACAAAAAATAAAGTGTTTAATTCATAGATGTAAAGTGATCAGAAGTCCTATGAACAACTATTGGTTAGCATGTGGCACTTTTTTCATCAAATAGCATAATTAAAATTTCTGCACCAAAATGCTAAACTAATAAACAAAGAAACAAAAGATCATTCTCTTCAATTTCCTTTGCATATGATGTATTGTAAGTGAAAGACCGTACCTAAACCTGAAGAGCAAGCATCTAGAATTCCGAGGTTTAAGAGGCTTTATGTTGTCAACTAATTTAATGCTGGAGGGAGGGGAGGGAGTTGCAAACTCTCTTCGATTAGCACTCAACAACTCATTCATTTAGCAACTCTTTTTCAAAAGCACTCGACACATTTAGCATATCGATAGAATTAGGGCCTTTTAATTGGCTTCCAAAACGTCTTCTCTTAAAGGGATGAAAAATACCAAATTTGTTGAATCAGGGAAATTCCTATTGGGATTTACATAATACTTATTCCTTCATAGTCTTTATTTAAAAGAAAAAGAAAAGGAAAAGGAAAAAGAAAAACCATACTTAACTAATATACTCCTAAAAATTGTCCTACATAGACAAGATGTCGTGCTCATTATCTTTAATTGGACATCATAAAAAAATCCACTTCGAATAACTCAAGTTCTCATTTTCAATCAAAACACAAAAATTGACTATGATAGCCCTCTCAAGTTGACAAAAGCTAACACCAATTACATACATTAGATGCATTATTTTTCCGTTCTTCAGAATTGGTGGCTTAGCTTTATAACTAAAATTCCTGAGACAAAAGGACAAGATAATTCCTTCTGGAAGATAATTTGTCCCTAGGTATTGCTGTATTGACATGGTTGTTCAATTTGTTGGCATAAGTGCATTGTTACTGGAGTGGGTTTGCGTTCCCACGCTTCTAAACCAAAACATGACATTTTTTCTTCTTTATCCAACACTATCACACACCTTATTAACAATACCTAAACCTGTCCTAAAATTTAGGATGGGTTGGTACACCCAGTTCATTCGGTTGTTCCCATTTCCCACTATTGCTAGAAGCAGAACTCAACCCTTGCTAAGATTATATAACTGAGATTCATATTTTACACACTCCCTTCCTCTGAGATTTTGTGTTTAGAAATATCCAAAAGTTTTTGAATTTGAGAGCTACAGATTCATCTGGTTGGATGATTTGCACCTCTACAGATCATAATTTTTTTTTCTGTTTGGGGACAACCGTAATGCTTTGTTGGTAACAGTCATGTAAAGTTATGTTTGTATATTCATTAAGCTCATTAGTTTCTGGCTGCAGTGGAATTGACTTGTCAAGATGGAGAGAGCTTGTAAAGGATAAAGGTGAAGTGGCTGACCTGGAGAAATTCAGGCAACATGTGCATGGAAATCATTTTCTCCCGAATACTGTTTTGGTAGACTGTACAGCAGACTCTAATGTTGCAAGTTGTTATCATGATTGGTTGCGAAGAGGAATTCATGTAATCACCCCAAACAAGAAGGCAAATTCAGGACCACTTGATCAGGTAACATGAACGATGTTGGGATATTGTTGTTGGAGTGTTGCTTCTTGAACTAGTTCCTCATTATTGCACATCACGTTTCTATTCCATCTTTGGTAGAGATTACATTTCTCTCTCTGTTCCTTTTTTTTTCTAAACTAAAGTTTTTGAGGTTTGCTACACTTTTTATTCCTCAAGTTGTAGCTCTACATATGGGTGCCTGATGATGAAACTTCTGCATCAATTAAGTTGGTTGGTTTCTCTACTTATTAACTTGAAAGGAAAAGTTTGCTTCTCATCAACTATTTTTTAGTCGCTGAACATTTTGTTACTGCTATGTTTGTCATGCCTTTGTCATCATCTCTCTGCTTATGTCTTTGTCTACTACATCATCTCATCTTGATCTTTTCTTCTATATAAATTCAGTATTTGAAACTGAGAGCTCTTCAAAGGCAATCCTATACACATTACTTTTATGAGGCAACTGTTGGAGCTGGCCTTCCAATTATTAGCACTTTACGAGGTCTCCTTGAAACTGGGGATAAAATACTGCGCATTGAAGGAATTTTCAGGTGAGACATGTTTTTGCTTAATAGACAGAAATATGAGCACTCAAGAGGCTCTGAATATATTATATTATAAAATTCCATCAATTTTTCTTTCAAGTATCTGTATCAGTGATGTTAAATAATTTCACTGTACATCTTTTACAAGCGTTCTCCCTATTTTGTTATCACAGTGGAACTTTGAGTTATATCTTCAACAATTTCAAAGGTACGCGAGCATTTAGTAATGTAGTGGCAGAAGCAAAGCAGGCAGGATATACTGAACCTGATCCAAGGGATGATCTATCTGGAACAGATGTTGCCAGAAAGGTTCTGTATAACTCATTAAATGTGTCAAATTTTTTAGTTCATGCCCTCTTATTGTCAAATAACTACATCTATTGGATTTTGTTCTTTAGATTTCATATATATATGGATGACTTTCTGTCCCATGAGTGATTGAATCAGTCTTGTGAATCTTAGTCATTAGTTAAATATATTGTTGGGTCAATGGGTGTCCCATGTTACTTCTTGCCACTAAACCTTGACTGAATTCAGTGGATGGAAATCTTTTAAATGCTGATGTTGTCAGCAGCACCAACTTGCAGTCAGTATGAAGACATGACATGTGATAGTTGACTAACTGCAACTGTATTGATTGTGAATTGTAATTGTCAGTTCCTCACAGTATATTCAGTTTGTTAAGTGCAGTCATAAACCTGCTGCTTTTTACAGGTGATTATTCTTGCAAGAGAATCTGGTTTAAAGTTGGAGCTGTCTGATATCCCTGTTCAAAGTCTTGTCCCTGAACCACTGAGAGTAAGATTCATGTTATGTAAATCATAAACTGGGCTTGCGATACCAGTTTTCCTTTGACATTATATTTTTAATTTTTGCTTCAGGCTAGTGCAACTGCTGAAGAGTTTATGCAGCAGTTACCACAATTTGACAATGAAATGGCTAGGGCGAGACAAGAGGCTGAGGATGCAGGGGATGTGAGTATCTCTCAAGATGTTTCTGCTTGTTTCTATTTACTTTTTTTAACAGAGTTCTTCAATTGCCAACTTATCAGACTACAAATTCATAGGAATCTATGTGGATGCTTAAACAAGGAATATAATATGTTGTTTCATACATTTATATAAACATCCATGCAAACAAGTTAAATAGTTTTAGTAGATGTTACAGAAAAAGTATACCATTTCCGTGGGTAAATAATGGATATGAGGCATTGTGATAAGGGGGCAGGTTGCTTTCCCCCATTGTAATGCCAAATCGTGATTCACTGTAAAAATAAAAAATATATTTTGACTTTTCCATAAATTATGTTAACTTTAGTACTTTGTTGATTATATTATGATTTGTTCCCATAAACCACATTCAACAGAACTTGTTATCAAACACACCTTTTGTAACTTTTTGTGTTTGTAACAATTTTTTTTCAGTTCAAAAGCTAACCTTGTTCACATTTTCTAAAAGACATTTATTTATTGGATCATAGAGGAAGGTCCGTATATTCTTTTCACAACCATTCGTGATAATAGGTTTTGTTCTTCTGATGGCCCAAAACTGAGAGAAATAGTTCATAAGTGATTCAGGTTATGTGATGTAGCGTAAATCAAGTTTATGGAAAAGGGAATTGTAAAGAGAAGTTCATTATGGATATCAAATGGGGTAAAGAACACGTATTTCACAAACTCTTGATTCTTTTGGTCTGGTAAAGAACACGTATTTCACAAACTCTTGATTCTTTTGGTCTGGTTCTTCTGGTGGCAAGCATAGCCCTGAAATTGAGATGTTATTCCCTGATCCTCTGATTTTTAAGGGTCAGTGCCACAGGGCCAAAATCCATCCATTAGTGTTAACAGTATCAAGTACTTATGAACTGCGGTGATCTCTGAAATCAAAGATTTTTTTGAATATGTCATCCTTCCATAATTGCAAGAAAAATCCCATGGCCACTTTGTGTTGGTTTAGGTGGAGCATGTTTTCTTAAATATTTGTCTTCATATAACGTATTTTTAATTGTTTTTTTTTCTGTTTCCGTTCTCTCCTTTGTACGAAATCCAAAGGTCTTGAGATATGTTGGGGTGGTGGATGCGGAGAGTCAACAAGGGCTTGTTGAGTTGCGAAGATACAAGAAAGATCACCCTTTTGCACAGCTTGCTGGTTCTGATAACATCATTGCTTTCACAACTACAAGGTATAAAGAACAGCCTCTGATTGTTCGCGGACCTGGTGCTGGGGCTCAAGTGACTGCTGGTGGAATATTCAATGACATACTGCTACTGGCCTCTTATCTTGGTGCTCCATCATGATAGCATCGTTTTCTTGGTTATCATAATGTTATCAAGATACATTTTGCCTTTACGTCTTTCCATAGGCCTTAATAATGCTTTTCTTCAAGGGCAGTGCTGGTCATGCTTGAGATGTCGTTATGCATTGTAATTGTTCTCTTAAAATAAGCTTATCTGCGGAAGCTTCAGTGCTAGTATAGTGTGAGCTTAGTTCTGCCAACATATACATATATGAATGGCCTTTTCTTATTTTCTTGCACCAGGTCTTGTAGTTCCTGGAGAATGGGAAATGTTAAATGTAAGCTTCCAGAAATGTTCGTACTTGATATGATTATGAGATTGCCATTACTTTCGTTCTTGATCCACTGTCTGAAACCCTTTGCAATGTGTAGTTTGTATTTATTCATGCAATTGATCTTTTGATTGGCGTGGCAAATGTGCTCATCTCAGCTTTAATTTGGCTACTTATTTAATCTCCTTCATTCCATACGATAGGTACATGGGGGAATGTCTATTCGCAATTCTGAATAACAAAACCTGCTGAGATTTCAATTCAGTTCAAAGTACTTTTTTAATTCATCTAGGAATAAAAAAAGAGAGGCCAAAGGGTGAAATTGGTTAAAAATAATAATTTTAAAACAGAATTAGAAAAAATAATTTGAGTTAATTTAGATTAAACTTTCAAATACATAACTTGAATCATAAGAAGAACAATGTTGTAGAAAATAAAATGAAAAAAAATTATAAAATTTAATTTTAAAAAAACAAAGAAAGCTACTTGAGTGAAAATAAATTAATCTGTTAAATATATGATCAAGATTGTGAGAAACTTTTCAAAATTTATTTTTTAATTAGCAAAAAAATTGAAAAAAAAATGTGAGGCCTAAAAAATTTTTAATTAGTAAAAAAATTGAAAAAAAAATGTGAGGCCTTTTTTTAGTTAGCAACATGAAATATATTGTTTAGGGTGGGAAACTTTTCAAAATTTATTTTTATTATGATATTTCCAACACCTCATACTTTTAAAATTAATGGACTTTTTATGTATAAGTATACTCCACCTGTAAGTAAAAAATATCATATTTTAAACGTATACATGTCTTATGATATTAGTTTCTCCTCACCATTATCAAAATTGTTGATCATGTTAACTTTAAAAATAATAATATACACATTTATTTTTGAAATTTAAGCCATGCTTAAGCAATCATTAATCACATGTATAGTACCATTGTAGAATTGTTTATCATTAAACTTGTTGCAATTTCTTTCCTTTTCAAAACAAGTTTTATATTTTAAATTTATTATGGGACTTCACCACTTATTTCACAATGTTTGCTTTAGAGGCTATACTAAAAGAGTTGGCTTTTTTGTTGGAAAACTTATTATCTTTTCTATCATTATCCTTAGAATAAAGTCTTGAAGTCCCATTTCTTCGCACTTATAATTAAGGTAATTTTTTAAGATAGTGATAATTTTTAAATAATTGTAATCACTTGGAAGATTTAAGATTTACTTAAAGATAAAACTTTAGCATGGATATCATATAAGATATCCAACTTAAAGATAAAAATTTAGCATGGATATCATATAAGATATCCAAACTTGGCTTATAAATGTACATGAATTGATCATAATAAAATCCACAATTTTTTCAACTTTGAACTTTTTTATATCTTCATTAACAACTTTTTACATTTTATCCAAAGCTTACCATAATATCTTATCACTCTTAATTTAACTATATACATCATATAATTTATTATATAATCCATTTATGATGTGGTTATTGCACATAAAATTGCTATAATTTTATAATTCTATGTGTTCACAACTATCACAATTATACGTCAAATTTCTTATTTAAAAATTTTGACACTTCTTCAGTCGCGAACTTTGTCAAATTCAAAGTGATTAGATAGAATATAATATATTTTTAATCTTAACTTAATCCATTAAACTTTTCAAGTTTTGTACACTGTGTTAAAGTACATGATGATGGAATAATCCCTGCCAATGTAATACTTGTTAAAACAATATTGGTTGTAACAAATGTTTCTTGATTTAAAGTCATAATAATTCTATATAAACAATAGCAAAGATATGTAAATAAAGATTTGGCTTCTAAAAAAACAAGCAAAATATAAATAATATAAACTTAAATAACCACAAAATATAAATACCTTAGTAATTAAATGTATAGAAACTATGCAAGATTTTATTAATCCCTTTTATATTATTTTATTCCTTTTATCATGAATCATATCATTATAATTTTGTATAAAAATTAAATGAATTACATGACCATAAAAACAAGTATAGAGGTTATACTATTAAAAGATATCTAGAAGCCTTCTAAAAATTAAAAAAATCATAAAGCTAGATATAAAAGTTAAACAAAGATTATAGATTTAATTGTATGATTCAAAAAAGTATAATACATACATGAATATAGAAAACTAGATAAAGTTAAATTTAACTTAAGATTAAAGTTGGTAAAATTTGTTTTAATAATTAATCTAGTTTTCAAAAGGAATTATAAAAAAAACTAATTAAAATAACGCCTTCTGATTGATGACCAAATATTATTAATTAATTAAATTAGTGTTCATAAAAGTTTAGTATCTAAGCATGAAGATTTTATCATGTATACTAAACATATATCCAAACTTCCATAAGAGATTGAAGCATAATACTTGATTATGTACTAAAGATATATTGAATTTATAGTTAAATAAAACTAGTGTAGAATACTTATTTATTAAAGCATTTAAGATTTTATTAGGCTAAAAAATTGTTGTTTTCAAGGATTAATTTATTGTCCTTTAAGTTTTATTGTTTCTCACTTTGTACAAATATGATATTTGTAATAAGCCTTCTAAGAATTTTACACTATCATTTTGTTTAGATGTATTTTTAATTCAAGTCCACAAATTAAGAGAAATTAAATCGAGTATCTTATTAAAAAATACTGAACCTAAGCTTTGATGAAAAAACAAAGCTTAAAAAGAAGAGAATAAGTGGAAAAATAAAGGTGATGATGAGTCTAAAATCTAAAAAAATAGTGTATAAATACTCTTTTTCAGCCCTTTTTTTCTACAAGATTTCTGAACTAAAATTAATAAAGAAGTAATTCCTATAATTCCTTTCATTATGAGTTTTGATTAACAGAAATAAAACTAGAACTAAACGTAATAGTTTTAGCTTTAAATATGATATTCTTTAGTTGAAATTTTTTTCTAAAACTATTCAAGTTACTAAAAAAACTTATCAAACTTTGTTCACAAGTTAGATGACACGACGAAAAGATTGTTATCTTCTCCCAAGTGCAGGAGTGTCGAAGTAATAAATAACCCGGCAAGATCGGGGTCGAACCACAGGGAGGTTAATTGTACAAATTATAAATAACAATAATAATAACAACAACA